CGAAGAAGGAAGGGAAGAGATGAGCGTATCGGGGTGGGGGAAAGGGGAGGGGGTGATTCTGGACCAGTGGAACTGCCTACGTGCACGCGTGTCTTCAAAACTTGTATGCCTTTCTTATTTGTCATGTCTAACGTCTGCGTGATGCGTGATTGTTCAGCGTAATTTTCCTCGTGGGGGCGGTCGCTCTCCTCGATCAAGATGAAGAGTGCGTGACTGTTGGTCCATCCTCCTCTCTCGTTGGCTCACAAGTCGGGCTCGCGTACTTCTTGACCGGCCCCCCTCGGAGGGTCGGCGGGCGCGGGGTCCCGGCCCGGGGCATTCCCTCGGCAGTGTGTTCCGGTGGCTGCACACGCGGCTCAACCCAGCCCAGCAGCCGGCCCAGCCCGGCCCAGCCCCGCGCAACAACGTTACAGACACCCCACTCTTTCCCTGGCACGCCGTCAAGTATGTGTAGCAGCCCGCACGGCGGCGGGCAATCGCCGCCGGCGGTGGCAGCAGCAGCAGCAGCAGGCTGCAGTAGCAAGGCTGTGGACAAGTGCTTCTCTGTGTGCCGAGATGGGGTCGTGATAGGGCCGCTGCGGGGCGGCGGGGCGGGGCGGCCATAGTGGCCAGTGCAGCATTGTAAGCGGGGTGCGCGCCGGGGGCCAGGCGACCGGGCGAAGTCCGTCCTGGACAAGGCCAGCGGGGCCACCCACGACACTCACGCTGTGTCTCCGCTGTCGCGCTCGTATCGCGAGCTGCCACCTCCCATTGCCATCCGCTGTCGCGCTCGTATCGCGAGCTGCCACCTCCCATTGCCACCTGCTGTCGCGTTATTCTCTCTCGCTCTCTCTCTCTTTCTCTCCCGCTCGCCCCCCCCCTCTCTCGCTCTCTCTCTCTTTCTTTCTCGCGCGCGGGGCGTTAGCAGGGGCAGGAGGATCTACGATGCGCGGATCGGCTCACCGGTGCACAACGGTGTAGTCATCATGTTTCGTTTCGCGCCGACATGACGCAACTCATCGCTCGCGCTGCGTAGTTCTGGAAGGCGATCAGGTGGACGAGGCGGGCGGGACGCCTGGCGTGTAGGCAGCCGCGCGACAGCCGCGCGCAACGGGCCGGCATCCCCCCGGCCGTCGGGGGCCTCGCCTCGCCCGCCTGGCTAGCTCGCTCGGCGGCGTCGCGCGCTCTGGGGCTGCTGGGCCCCCCACCGCGCCACCCGCAGCCGCTGCTGGGGCTTGAGGGCGGCGAGGACAGGGCAGGCAGGAGGACTCTAAGGCAGGGCAACCAGCAGGGCAGTAGGGCCAGCAGTGCAGGCACTGTAGGAAGGACGCCAAGCCGGGGCAGCCGCCAGGGCGGGCGCTTCACTGTAAATATAGAGTGTCCAGCAGCTGTGCTACTTAGCCGCTCGACTCAGGTTTCTGTGCGACTGCGACTCACGTCACACTTTTGCTTGACACCTTGAGTTTTGGCATCCTTGGTCATCTTACCTTGAATGAGCCTGGACCTCTCTGCAGGCGAAAAGGGCGCCGAAACACTAGGTGTCCTGCAAAAGTGTGACTTTAGTGGCACACCTGCTGGACACCCCAGGTCGACGGTGTATAGCAGGACTCTACGGCACGGTAAAAATAGTTTCTTGAATTAAGACCTAGTCTTGGATGCCATTGGCGTTCTCCATAAGATCCAAGACCGGGTCTTGTAATACACGAAACTTTTTTCACCGTGGGCTGGGGCGCCATAGAGCCATAGTAGGGCAGCCGCGGCGGCGGGGCAGGCACTACTATAGGACTGGAAGGATTCGAAGGCAGGGCGCCGGGCGCCCCGCCCGCCCCGCCCCGCGCCCCTGCCACTCATTGTTACATTTGCATTCCCGCCTGCGTGTGTTAGTGTTAATGGTGTGCGATCAGCTGGCAGATAGCGCGGGCGTGGCGGGGCGTGGCGGGGCGTGGCGCCCCCTGGCCGGGCGTGGCGGGCTCAGATTCCAGAGCGCGCCAGACGTAGGACGCGAGGTCCCATAGCAGGCCTCTATACCCGTTCGGGGGCGTCCTCCTCTTCCTACCCGCTACATGAAGCGAGCGCGCGCGGGGATGCGGCCAGCTATGGGGCGAGGCGGGGTGGGGCGGGGCGGAGAGCAACCTTGTCTGGACACATATGCGTGGCGTCCGCGACGCTCACGCGGACAAACCTTGGTGTGGATGAGTGAAATAGTTATCACGCCAAGTATTCTTGCAGCCTAATAACCTCACGGCGTTATATCGTGGCGTGGCGTGGCGGGGTGCTGCTGCGTTTGCCTCGCGTAGCGTGGCGGGGCGTGGCGGGGCGTGGCAGCTCCGCACCGGAGCCGTACTCATCGTATCTTCTACGTTGCTCCGCTGCTGCTGGTTTTGCTCGCCCTTGTTACACTATACGGGTGCCTCGCTCAGCCCCAGCCTAGCCAGCCCAGAGACCACGAGCGGAGAACAAAATCTGCCACCTCCTCCCCGATGATTCATTCTAATTTGTTGCCGGTACTTGAGGCATCTGATGTCCGTGGGTCTAGGTCACGTGGGAGGGCCCAAGCCCTCAAGCATGGTCTATTGATTTGATTCTGCCGCATTGAGGTAATGAGGTATGTAGCTCATTTCAGCGGCCCTTGTTTTGTATTTCTCTCACAACTATGGCAAACCCGCTCGCACCCGTGCACCCGAGTATAACTATGAAAGTGCGTGGACCGAGTCAGCCACCTGGTGTATATTTTTGCTGAGATATTGTTATTTTGGACTTGTGTCCATCCTTCATCTTCCTCCTGTCCCTCGCATGGGGGTCGCGGACACGCGCCCCGCACGCCGGTCCGCCGTGCTGCTTAACGGCCTTCTGAAGGCGACGACGCCCGCTGCGCTGAGCTGCGCCGGCTGGGCTGGCAGTGCAGCTCTGCGCGCCGCTCTGCGACATTCAGTGCGACTGCACCTGCCGCCTCGCCGGCCGCTCCCCGCAACGCGCGTCGGCGGCTAATCCTTTCTTACTTAAGACGTAAGCGCGGCAGAAGCACTGCAAGCTGACACACTATAGGAGGGCGCGTGGGTGACTCCTCGCCCCGCCCGTCGCACAGTCCCACAAGAAACATGTCGACGTCGAAGTATCGTCGGTTTGGAGAGCAAAACGAGCAAAATACCACCAGGTGGACCCAATAGGACTCAAAACAAAGCATACCACTACGCTGAGAACGCACATTTAGGATTATCCAGCAGACCATGTAACAAGTGCACACTTGTATCGCGTGCACGTTGGCGCTCGCCCCTGCAGGATTGGCTCGCCGATGGGCCGTGGGCCGTATAGGCCGCCCATCGTGCTCGCTGCCGTTGGCTTTGCCCGGGATGCAGGCGCCACTGCCTGTTCCCTGCCGCCGTACCCCTTTCCAGCAGTGCATTGGCCTCGAGCTCTCGCACTCTGAGCGCCCGGAGTGTAGGCAGCCCAACGTACGCCAGGCTCTGGCTGCCAGGAAAGACGCACACGCGAAATATTGAGAAGAAATGCCGGCTAGAAGGCATTGTGATAGCGGGTGCAAGTGTGCAGTTTCGTGAACGGACTTTAAATGTCACACCGGTTAATAAGCAGAGAAAGAATGCTTATAATATAGTCTGAGAAAAACTATGATACAAGCAATAGTTTTGCGTCACCAAATCAAATAATTATGGGATCTATAATGTACTGGCATGGCCGACTTTTGAACTGAGACAGGATCTTCTTCTATTGCGTACGTCCTACACTCTGAAAAAAAGGAACTTCAGGGAACTGCTTGTCCACAGCTATAGACAAGAAAATCCATGGGTAAAAACGTGCCATTTTACAGAATTCTGTCAATTGATAACAATTGTCATTACAGAGCATAGTAATAATACTTAGATAATGGTTCCTTCGATTAAAACAAATTTGTCGCGTTCAACGGATTTAAACATCCACTTGCTGGGACAAATGCCTTGTCCGGGTGGTGGGGGGTGCTAGGGATCATTTAGTCATTCGCCGAGTTCCGCCAGTTCGGTTCAGTTTTAAAATGGTTTTTATTGACGTCAAATTGTTACATTTGGATTTACATGGGTTGGTGTGCTGTTGCCCGTAGGCCTTACAGTATTTACTTGTTTTTAACGGGTGAGAGGGTATGGGGTGGAGCAAATGATGAAGGGGTGATTGGATGGTGTTATGGTTGATGCTTTGATTTAGTGTCCTCTAGCTCACCAAGGCCGGGGGGAGATAGGGGTACAGCCCCGTAGGGCGACAGGTTCCACCGACCTATAACCGTCGGTCCCCAGTTTTTTCAGTTTTTAAAATGGTTTTATTGAAGTCTAGTTAAGTTACATTTGGGTCTTACATAGGTATGCTGTTGCCCGTAGGCCTTACAGTATTTGCTTATATTAGATAACGAGTGAAAAAGTAAATGGTTGAGTGTTGATGAAGTGTTGGTGTTAGGGTTGGTGCTTTGATTTTGGGGTCCTCTAGCTTACCACGGCCAGGGGGATAATGACTATCGGTCCGCAGCGTCTGGCTCTCATAGCGCCTGGTAGGTAGGCAATATCTTATAATGCAGAGCATCCGTGCACTGCGGTGTGGCCTAACCCGAGTCTCGCAGGCGCCGGGCGCTCACAATTTGCCGAATGAATCTGACGAAAACGGACGAGCTTTCTGGACGGTGCTCCATAAAGTGAGGCGTGAGAGGGAGCGGGACGATGCACATTTGCGCATACTAATTGGAGGGGGGGGGGAGGTGGAGGCTGGCCGTCTGTGCTTCGCGTGTGCGTCATAGGTAGCGGATTTTCATCACAAACGCCCCCTCCCCCTTTTTTCCTCTTTTCCTCCAGAGCGCTATTTGCAGCTATTTGCTCTTAGTCTGTCGCCTTCTACCCCCTCCCCCCTCCCCTCTTACGTAAACATAAGGCTCACGTTGGCTAATATTTTCTTTTGGGACGTAATTTTGCCTTCTTTGAAATACTTTTTTTTTGTCGTTCCGTTTTGCGTAAAATATATGTGTGGAATAACGTTAAAGAAATGAAAAAAAAATGTTGGAAGATAGACACGCGCTGGAACAATTTCGAACGTCTCGATGGACCAACGGAGACAGGGCTAGGAGGCGGGCGGACGTGGGCAGCCACAGCCAGACGAAGAGTAGACTGACCGCGAGGTGAATCGACGTGAATATATTTCGATATATCGTTAAGTACTGTAGTCTTGGCGAGTAATCGATGCGTTTGGCGGCGGCGCGGTGGCACACGCCCATAATCAAGGCAAGGCCGAATCAAAGGCGTCAATAAACTTCCTGCCTGCCACCGTCATCGGCTCTATTTATTTCTGTGTTGTTTTTATTTTTTTGCCCGAGCGGAAGATGTTAAACTTAGATATTTGCCTTTTCCTCCGGCATTTGCCTTCGACTGGATGGCAGCGGGGCTGTTCGCGTTCACTTTGAAAATAACATGTTGTCCGAAGCACCGTCACACCGTCGGGAGACAAGTATGTGAGTGCCTGGCGTTTGAGCAGGTATGCGTTTAATGAGCCTATTGCACTCCGCGCTATTTAAAACAGATTAAGTGCGCTGTGTAAATTTTTGTTTGGCAGTAACCATGCGATATTCAATATCGGTGGGACACGTCACACACGGTGGGTCCACAGACCCCTTTCCTTTGGTTTGCTTAAACTGTACCGCATGAGGCGTGCTGGCGGGCTTGTGTACCGTCGCTTTCCACGGCGCCTTGTGGCCCCGTGTGAGAATGCAACCGGCCCGCACGACTGCATGCGGTACAGTATAAGCAAAATAAAGGAAGGGGTCTGGACCACCCTGTATTTTTGAGTAGGGTGGTGCTATAAATCATCGTCAAAAACCATGCTCGATTTTAGACATTATGAACCTGCTTTAGTGTTACATGAAATGGTAAAAAGAAGAGGGCATTTACTCTTATAGAAGGGAGGAATTCGGTTTCGTGCAAACTTTATTTGCCTTCATCATAATAGTTTAAACATTTACAATACAAAAAACAGCAGATCCACTTATCTCCTTATCACAGTGCGAATATCGTTTTCGTTTTTTCTTTGCCATTGAGCTCAAAGCGCAACGACGGCGCTTATATGACGCTACTTTTTGCGCTAGGAAATGGCGAGTTTAGTGTCCGCGCCGCTTCTGGCCGGACTCTGGCCGCGTGGTGGGGCGTGGTCGCGGCGCGGCCGCTTGTAGCGGTAGATCATTGCAGACAAGGTTAAGGGAAGCAATCAGCACTCGACGCTCTGCCTCAACACTCGAACACGCCCTCAAACAATGGAGCTGCGTGTCGCTGTTATCAAGCAACAGTCCTTATCATCGTCTTTATCAGCCTTATCACAATCTGCATGGACTAGGGTTGGCGGCTGGGGGGGGGGGGGAGGGGAAGGGGCACGCCGGCCCAGGGAAGGGCGGGTACGGCTCTAGTGGCAGTAAGGGTAGTTGGGGCAGGTGGACGGGGAGATGCCGTCGGGGTACTGCCTGGAGGAGAAGCCGGGCAGCGGCGGCGCGGCGACGGGGCCGGGGGCGCCGATGTGTCCGGAGCAGTAGGGGTAGTTGGGGCAGGAGGCGGGCGACACTCCGGCCGGGTACTGGGCCGCGGCGGGCACGCCGGCGGGCGCGGCGTTGTAAGGGTTGTAGGCGGGGGCGGGGTTGTAGTTGTTGTAGTTGGGCGCCGGGTTGTAGTTGTTGTAGTTGGGCGCGGGTGCGTACGCGGCCGCGTGCACGGGGGCGTTGGCGGCGCCCTGGGCGTGCAGCGCGAGCAGCGCGTTGTCGCAGTGCGGGTAGTTGGGGCACAGGTGCGGGCTGACGCCCGCCGGGTACTGCGCCGCCTGGGAGGCGACCACCGCCACCGCCGCCGCGAGGACCACCTGCAACCGAGAGGAGAAGAGAGTCAATCACAGCGCGATGTTGCGCCGGCTAAACGCCCTCGTCCGCTCCACTTGCTCGTCCCCGATGACGGGGTGCGTGGTCACGGTGCGTGGCCACGGGCGCGCGGCCGCGCTCTGGCGCCCTTTCGCAATCACTTTTCAGATTCGGACTGAACTCCACCGAAACCTGGTGGGACTCGAGAAAACACATGGGCATGCACGCGCTCATCGACGGGGAGTCCCCCCCTCCCCGAATATTTTTTCCAAAAAAACAACAAAACTAATTTTAAAAAAAACAACAACAACAAAAAACAGGACATTTGAAGAGCTTTTAAAAAAGTGAAACCAAATAAAAGTAGTTCGTGTTGAGCACTGGCGAGCACTTTGCGTATTCGATCTTAACACTACACTAGACACGGCACGAGGGAGCACTGCTTGAAGCACACAGAGGTGAAGTATCCACAAGGTGCTGGCGTTGGCGCTGGCGCCGTCGTGGTGCTGGCGGCGCTCACTCACCAGCTTGGAGATCATGGCGAGTCTGTTGGTGGGACTGTTGTCCTGTCGGGCTGAGAGGAGAGGGTTGAGTGCTGATGCTGCTGGCCGGGGGCGCGCCGTATATATAGCCCGATCGCGTTAACGCCGAGCATTGTCTTCCCTCCCCCTTGCCCCGCCCCGCCGGGCCCCGCCACCCCGCCGAGCCCCGCCGCGCGCCCTGTGCAGGCAGGCCCCTGTCCAGTCTCCCCCACCCTGAGGTCTCCTCAGCCCCTCCGCGGTTCGCCGGCCCCTCCAGCGCCTCCAGGCCCCTCCCTCCAGATCAGCCCCCTCCTTCTAATCAGTCCATCGGGCCGGCCCGGGCCCCACGTGGAGGTCACGTGGTCGCACAAGGCGACGGCCCCGCGGAAGTCATCACCCGAGTGTCGCCCGCCCCCGGGCCGGACTCGCGCTATGATGGCAAGACGGCTTTGAGATTTCGGCGCCGCGTCGCCGTCCGCCGCCGGTGTGCGCCGGGGCTGCGGAGGCTGCGGAGCTGGCGGCTGGCGGCGCCACCGACCGCCTCGCCTCCTCATTGGTCGGCGGACGCGGCGGACGGGGAGGCCGGGTGACGGCGAATGGCCGCGCGGCCGTCCTTCCCTGACCCTCGGCCGAGGCCTCGACAGGCTCCTGTCCAGGCGGCGGAGGAATGAGCTCAATATTCAAGAGGTCACTTCAATAGTCATTTTTTTCGAGAAGTCGTTCGCACACCAGTTTTGGTTCGTCTCTTGCCCATTGCTCAGGGGTATGTGCCTTTGGAGTATGGGACTTTGGAGTATCCTTAGTGGAGTATGGGCCTTTGGAGTATGCTTAGTGGAGTATGGGCCTTTAGAGTATCCTCAGTGGAGTATGCGCCTTTGGAGAATCCGTAGTGGAGCGTTAGTATGCGCCTTTGGAGTATCCTTAGTGGAGTACGGGCCTTTGGAGTATCCTTTCGGGGCGGAGGTCTAGAAGTGCCCACCTCCTCATCTCGAGCACAGCACGGTGAACTCATCGACCTCCCACCAGTCCCCTGTTGCGGGCTGCAGGCGGGCTGCAGGTGTTGTCGCCAGGTGTCCACTTTGTCCTGCCCGGGCTAATGGGGGCGCGGCGTGTGAGCAAAGGGTTTGCATTGGCCGTCGGTATTGCGGCGCGTTGCGGCCGTGTCGTCGGGGCCCCGGGTGACTGAGGCGAGTCGGCGGAGAGGTCTATCGCACAGGGAGGGTCGCATATTCGCATTCCTCCGTAGTAACGGAGCGCATAATGAGCAGGGAAAAGTAAAGTGGCGTAGAGCCCTCTGATAAGAGGCTTGCTGCATGTAGCGGCAGGGCGGGGCGTGGTGGGCGGCGGGCGCTGGCAGGGCGGTATGCGGGGACTGCGCGGGGCGCGGGGGGCGCGCAGGGCGTCGTGGTATGGCCTGCCGGCCTGCCAGCATGGCCTTAGTGATCCAATGTGACCTTGCACTCGAGTCTCCGCGCGGCGCGCTGCTCTCACCGGCGGGGCGTGGCGGGGCGTGGCGTCGCGGGCGGCACCTTCCTTGACAAGCACCGCAAATCGACACCGAGTGGCGTCATCGAATTGATGAAAGAAATTGCGTGGCACCGAGTCTGATTATGCGTGTATTTCTGCGGTGACTCTGGACAGCGTTAAATGGGTTCAGCAGATGGGGAGGTGGCCGATGACGCCCCGAAAGCTACGGGCCGTAGCCCGAAAGAGACGAAATCATCCGCATAAATTGCCACCCCGACCTGGCTCCGGGGCGGAGGGAGAGGAAAGGGGGGGG